GTTGTAGAGGCACCCCCTAGAGTGGCATGCAGCTCATCATTTCTGCGGGATGTCTGGGGCTCTGACCCGGAGTAGCCGTTTGCCTCTCTGTAGGCTTGCCTGATATTCTAGGCAGGACTGACTCTCCATTAGACAAAACTTAAAGAAGAGAATGACCTGGGGAGTCATTCCCATTTTTGTCCAGGCACCCCCGACCAACCTCACCGAGGCTGGCCAGGAGCACCCATGACAGCAGCAGACGGTACAGTATGGCTGGTAACCATCTTTGCTAACTTGCAAAGGCAAGGGGATGCTGCTGTGTAGCGCTGCAGTACCGCGTCTGTCAGCAGCATCTAGTAGACATACGGTGACAGTGAAAAAAGGCTGAACGGGCTCCATGGTTGCCGTGCTATGGCGTCTGCCCGGGCAATCCAGGGAAAAGGGCGCGAAATGATTGTCTGCTGTTGCTTTCACGGAGGGAGGATTGACTGATGACATTTACCCATAACCATCCGCGACAAATTTTTGGCCCCATCAGGCATTGGGATCTCAACCCAGAATTCCAATGGGCGGGGGAGACTGCGGGAACTATGGGATAGCTATGGGATAGCTACCCACAGTGCAATGCTCTGGAAGTCGACACTAGCCTCGGTACATGGACACACACCACTGAATTAATGTGCTTAGTGTGGCCGCTTGCACTCGACTTTATACAATCAGTTGCCAAAAGTCTAATTCTGTAAATTCGGAGTAATCCCGTAGTGTAGACATACGCTAAGAAAATGAAGAAAATAAACAATATTGACAAGATGTTGGAGGACTTACATTACATCAAAACATGAATCCCTAATTCATTAGACTCAAACCAACATAACTCACCCATGGCCCCACAACAGGGCACAGGTCTCACTTGCAAGATTCCTTGAACAGTTAGTTACACTGGAAATGTGAGTGCTGGTATAACTGGGTACTTTTTTTAAAGACATCTGCTGGCCTGTATGTACATTTGATTTTCTTTGCTGTTTCAGCTACTGCTGTATATTCATTTTTCAGCATTTGCATTAACCTTTTATACATACCATAATCTTTCCTTTTTTAATGAGTCTTTTTGTTCCCTTTGGCTTGATCCCAGCATGTAAATGTAATGGCCATGCTGACATGTGTCATTTTGACATGGATGCATGGCTGGCCTCGGGGAATCGCAGTGGTGGAGTCTGTGATAACTGTCAACACAACACTGAAGGGCAGCATTGCCAGCGTTGCAAGCCAGGCTTCTACCGAGATCTCAGAAGGCCTTTCTCTGTCCCAGATGCCTGCAAATGTAAGTCACTGTCAATTAACTAATAAAATACCTACTGAAACTTGAGGGTTAAATACTAGAAGACAAGATCCTCCCATCTTTCATTCGTGCTGCTTTAACAGGGGGCTGTAAGCTCTCAACAGTACATTTACTTCTTCATCTTTGGGTTTGTTTAAGGCTGCTTACACAAAACAGTAGAGTTTGCCAGACTAAGGGTCAGCACTCTGGCTCTCCGTAATTTAGTATTATTTATACACTGGAGGGGCTGACAGCTGCCTCTTCACTTAAATGAGGATTCCTGAGCTATTTTTGGAGAACAGATCTCCGTATCAGCACATCTTCTGCATTAGTGTTGGCAGAAGCCCCGAAATGGATGGTTTGGCCAAAAGTGGATGGAATTAGCAAAAACCAACAACCCTAATTCATCTAACTCTCAGAAGCAGGTGGATCTGAAGGGAGAAATTTCAGTGTGAGTTAACATTATTCCAGCAAGTTTGACTCTGGTGAGGCTTCTGAGTTATATAGTCCATAGGGAGATCCAAAGGCAAAAATCACCCAGGAACATTCTGAGGGATTTGTGACATGTAGAGAACTTCAAATCCACAAACCACATTGAATGGATTACAATGAGAGAGAAATGTAGTGAGCCAAGTAATGCTCTCAGCTACACTGCTACAAACTCCACTGATTTCACAAGATTTACACTGGCATAAGAGAGTATAATCTGGTGCCGTCTCTTCATATGTAGCAGACAGAATCTGGCTCCTGTACTGTTAGTGTTGTTTAAGGGAAAATTGTATCCATCTTCTTCAGAAACAACTACAAGAATCCCTTCTCAGAAGAGAGAAATTGGCAGTATCCTTTGAAACTGTAGAGTTGCATTCTGGGTTGAATATGGCATGTGGCTCCCATTGGCTTCACTTGGAGTTGTGTGGCAACTAACCTTGTCATCTCATTGGGCATTTATTTGTTCCACTGTGGTTTTCTGCTGCCCTAGCCAGCTGGGAGAGGAATCCATTCTCCTCTGGATGTTTGATTTCACTAACTGGCTAGATGTGTGTCTATCCCAGATAATACACCTTGTGTAGTTTACCAACCTGATTCCTCTTAGAATACAGTTTATGAAAATGTATGTGACCTCAATCCTTCATTACAGAGGTAAATAATATTTTGATGTTATAATATGTAGACAACACATTTCTTAAATAATTTTACTTCAAATATTTTCCTAGTGTCCCTTTGCCTACTTTCATTACCTAATTTGCAGTCTCTAGTCTCCTCATCTGTGATATCAGATATTTTTCTTCAATAATTATTGCCAGGTCATATACAAGAGTGTTTTTGTTTTGTACTCCCGTCCCATTCAGAAAAAAGCAGGATAGAACCCTGGACTCAGCCCCTCACTTTCTAGGGGTCTTTTCCAACTCCCATCTTCACTAGGAAAAAAGGTGCATCCTTACCTCCTATTAACTGACACACGGCAACTATCACGAGGTAAAATCCATGAGAGGAAAAAAGGCAATTTTCACATGTCAGCAGATCACCCTAAACACTATGGGGGAACCTAGGGTTTATGTTGGCCTGATATCATGTGTTAGAGGTACAACTGCCATGTCTTCACTAGGATTTTACCTCATGTTTGTTACCACACCTTTTTTCCTAGTGAACACAAGGCCATTGAAGCCAATCTAAGTTTTTGCATTGACTTCAATGGGAGTTGAACTTGAATGTGGCCTTGGGAGCACCTGACAAGCAACACATTCCACCTTGGAGATGGAAGGAGTGGGTTGTATCAGTACACTGGTAGCGGCCTTTGCTTGACAAATCTAGGAACTGAACTGAAATGTTTTACAAAGAGATTATCATTCAGTCCTCCCAGATCTAATAGTTCCGATGCAAACCTTGCCTAGGTTGGGAAGGGCCATTACTGACTGGGGTCTAGCACAGAGAAAACCTGCTTGCAAAACTAAGTATCAGTATAATTATTGGAAAGTTCTACTCCAAAATGGAGATAACAATTCAAAGGGAAAAATACCAATGTGTATAGAAAAAATCAAACTAACAATCAACCATCATGTCACAGAATTAATTATCTGAAAGTATCACCACTGACCCTAACTCCTAAGAGACTGCTAAGATCCTGGCTAAAAAGCTTAGCAATCTTGGCAGGAGGCAGACTTGTGCAGATGATATGATTAATGGATATTTTTACTGACACAATGGTGGACATAAACCTTGCTGCACAGTCACGTCAGTTTCCTTCATTCACTTCTAAATCACTGACCCATAACATTCTACTTTTCTCATGCATTTCATTTTTAAAAAGTGCAAAACGTTATATGCCTGATATAAAGGCTAGGATTTTGTCTCCTAACAAAGTCTCTTAAAAATGTAACTAGAAAATCCGTTTAAGGAACTCTCTATATTTAGGAACTC